TTTTTTTTTTTTTTTTTTTTTTTTTTTTTTTTTTTTGTGCACAGTGCGCGACTCCCTCAGCGGGCGCACCGCGCACATCGGACAACACTACGTACTGCACACACCGCACGGCACACAGTGCGCGCGCTGTCGTTCCAGCGCAGTGCGCACCGCCCCGCCCCGCACTGAGCACTGGTGCGCCGCAACTATGTTTTATAGTCCTTTTGAGTTTTTTCTTTTAGTTTTTTTTTGCCTGTTTCGTTTTTTGATGTTTGTATTATGAGCCTGCATAATTTGTTCACAAAATTTTCCACGACATTGCTTGTAGTGATGCGGCGAAAACCCCCGAATTTTGGGCCTTCCATTAACCGCGTGTCCAGGAAAGATGAAGTAAAATACCTCCAATATTTCTGCCTTCGTCTTACATCTGGATATATCTGTCAGTTTCGGGCCAACCAGATGTGGGGGGATCGCTGCCGGACGACGGAACCTGATCGGCTGCAGATGTTCCACTGGCCAGAACACCATCTCACCGCCTCTCGGGGGTACCGTTTGCTGATAATACATACAAATAATACGTAGCGAATCGACACCGTTTGCCTGCAAAAGCGCACACATAAAGAGTATTAAAGACGGCAAACAATTCCGACAAAATTCGACAATTTGTTTCAGGCACGGTGCCCACATACCTCAACCACTGCATCAAAAATAGTGGCAGAAATCAGAGCAGAGGGGTATCAAGACAATGGAGCTCACTCCACTATTCACCAAATATGCAAACTGAGAATGAATCTTCCGCAAGAACATGGAAAGATACACGGCCGTATTTTTGCCTTTTGTGCATGGAGTGAGTGGTGGAGCGAGGCCCATTATCAATAAGATAATTATGGGCCTCTCTCCACTACTCACTACATGCACAAAACACAAAGAAATATGGCGGCGTATCTTTCGATGTTCTAGTGGAAGATTCGCTCTCATTTTGCACAGTTGGTACAAGTGGACCAAGGCCCCATACCACACTCATCTGGCTAAATGATCGGACAACTGTTAGTAAACAGATCATTTGTTCGAATCCTCATCAAATCAGACGAGTATAATAATATTATTAGGGGTTACGTTACCAACTTAGTACTTTTCACCTTTCAAATAAACCGTAAAGCAGGGCTGGTCGCCGGTTGGACCGGGGACCCCTCTCCCACCCGGGAGCGTGCCGGTCGGACCGGGCGGTCGACCGGCCCGGCAGACCCCCGGTCGAATCCAGCGCATTACGCTGGATGGGGGGTACCGGGCAGTTACAGGCATCCCTGCGACTGCCCATCCCCCACGAGCCCGCGGCCTCCTACAGAAAAAAAAAAAACATTGCGGCTTTTTGGGCCCCACTTCTGGAAAACAACGGGCGGAGGATCTCTGCCGCTTATCTTTGCAGATCAGCGGTGGACAACAGCCACGCGCGTTTTCTCAAAAATTGGGGTTCCACCAGGCCCCATATTTCGATTTGGCATAGTGTGCTGAGTGCGGTCCAATAGACCACGGACCAGTTGCCATTGGCGGGACATAATCGTCCATTCTCAGCCACGAGGGAATTACTCTGCAAGAGCAGTGGCTCTCCTGAGGTTATATGTTTCCACAACGCTATGCTCCAGGGAAAGAGTTATGGGTTTGGGTTTCGGCTCTCTCTGAGGTGCAAGCCCAAGAATGGACCTAAGCTATATTTTTCTCTCAATCTATCTAGAATGGACCAGGCTCCACTACATGTATCTGGACAAACAGGCAGGCGAGATATTTTCGGACTGAGGACGATGATGACCCAGCGTATGTGAAAAAAAAGAAAAACAGAAAACGCTCTGCCTGCACGAGCTGAAACCTGCACCCATAACTTTTCTGCTGTCGAGCTATACTGAAACGGTTTCGCCCAGTTGACCTGACATTGCAGTCACAGAGATTCGATCCCTAGACCTGTGCCACAACCCTGTACATTGATCCCGTGTGCTGAGTGAGCTTCGATCCCTAGACCTACCCTATACCTGTACATAGACCCTGTGTGCTGAGTAGGAGTTGATCCCAAGACCTGTTCCACACCCCAGATTAGTCTGTAGTTTGGGCAGTAGGACTTGATCCCTAGGTCCGTAGATTAGCAGCTAGGTCCGTTACCGATAGGCTTAGGAAGTCTGTTCTAGAAGTCTCTACGAAGTCTGTTGAGGACTGGAATCTGTCTGTAGGTCTGTATAGTCTAGAAGGTCGTAGGACAGTCCAGCCAGCAAGTACCAAGGGTAGGGACTGCACGTGGGGAAGGTTCTGGAGCACACTGTGGGTTTCACACGTTTTGGCCCAGAAGGCCAAACGTCTGGAAACTTCCCTGGGCCACACGTTTTGGCCCAGGCCCACACGTTTTGAGGCAGGCCCGGGTACCTCCAAAGAAGTATAAATAAAGAGGCAGCGTCCAGCCATTCATTCATTCGCCTGTGTGTCATGCGGAAGAGCTGCCTTGGTATCTTGTGTGTGGAGGACTGCAGGTGCCCGGAGAAGAAGTGGGCTGTGAAGAAGACAGCGTCCATAGCGAACCAGCGAGAGAGGGACACCGGCGGCCATAGCTAGGAGGAGGAAGACGACGGCGGCCATAGCCACCCAGCTGTTGGTGCAGACAGGGTATACAGAGTGTGTGTGCCTGTGCAGCGTGGACATTCAGGGAGATCCTCGTACGTGCGTGCATGTGAGGGTGAGGAAGAGTGAGGCTGGTGGTAGAGACAGTGTTCGGCGGCCATAGCCGCAAGTTGTACAGTTGTTCTGAACAGAGTTTAAAAGCAAGTCCGTTGTTGATTCTGAGTTCACGAGTTTGGTTTGCCATCGGTTCTCATGTGTGCATGTTGTGAGCAAGTCCAGAGTCGAGTCTGATTGCATTGGTATCGGAGCTGGTTCCCGTTGTCCACGTTGGAACTACACCAGCGAGTTGGAGGAAGGAGAAAGCTGCCATAGCTGGAGGTCGGCAGAGAGAGCGAGAGAGAGAGAGAAAGGAAGAGAGAGAAGGGGGGACGGCAGCCATAGCTGCCAAGCTCGGGAAAGAAGACAATCAGTAAGGAGAAAGAGATAGACGTGGAGAGAAGGAAGAAGAAAGTGACGAAGAGGGAGACGAAGTCAGCCATACCCAAGGTGAAGAAGACAAAGGTTTTGACAAAGAAGAAGAAGGTTCACCATAGCCGGATGGTTGAAAGGTTGACCAAGGGAGTTGACCAACTTTGACAAAAAATTGACCAACGTTGACCACGAGTTGACCAACGTTGACCGGGTGTTGACCAAGGGTTGACCAAGAGCGTTGACCAGGCATTGCCTGAAGTTGACCACGGCATTGACCAGGAGCATTGACCGGCGAGTTGACCAAGACCGTTGATCGGAGCGTCGAGCCAGCTGGAGCAAGAAGATTACCGGTACTATCTCTCCATGCCCTGGCCTATCCCTTACCCCGTGGATGTGCACCTTCACCTTGGTACTTGCTGACGTCAAGTCTATCAAAGTCAGTCAGTCATATCTCCCTGTCAGATCTGTCCAGGTCAGTAGGACTCTGTGATTGTCGTCATAGAACCGTGAGTCTAGCCCGAGTAGTGAGTCAAGACCCCTCGATAGAAGTTAACCTGTTTGGTCTACGTGTTGAGGCGCGAAATCGTTCCTGATTGTGCGCTATCNTCGATAGAAGTTAACCTGTTTGGTCTACGTGTTGAGGCGCGAAATCGTTCCTGATTGTGCGCTATCACCATGGTGACCCTCAGGTCAGGAACTACCACCACCCCCTACAGCAAGGAGCGGGAGGAGAAAGCTGCCGCCATTCTACGAGAGAAGGAAAGGATGGAGAAGAGGGAGTTAATCAAGCAGGCCAAGATGCTGGCCTTGCTGGAGGAGCAAGAGGCGAAGAAGAGGCAGCTGGACGAAGAAATGAGGAAGTGGACGCAGGAGCAGGAGGCGAAGATGGCGGCTATACAAGCAGAGGTGGAGAAAGAAGATGAAGAAGAAAAGCAGGTGGAAGAAGAAGTACCGTTGGAAAGAAGAAGAGGTGAAGCTAGTACGAGTAAGGAGGAGCAAATTGAGAAGTTGACACAAGAGTGGACGGCACACTTGGAGCTGGGGGAAGATAGGGAGGCAGAATTGGTCATACCCCAAGCAGAGAGAGAGGCGGCGAGAAGGGAGTTGGAAGCAGAAAGGGACCCGGTGAGGAGAAAGGCGAAAGAGGAGGAACAGCAAAGGGCATGGAAGTGGCGTATGTCCCAAGAGAAAGTTAGGCGTTTGGAAGCGGCAGAGCGAGCAGAAAGGGACCTGAAAGCAGCGGAGACCAGGATGGGGAAGATCAAGGAAGAGACTGAGATAGCCACTAAACTCGATACCCTGACCCAGAGTGTGGAGTCTCTACTAATTGCACATCGTGAGCAGACGCAGTACATCCGCAGCTTAGAAGTAAAGATAGATGCAATACGTGCAGGGTTTAAAGATTTTGCGCGTGATACCTGGTGGACCAGGTCCACTTGGCAATTAGTAAGACAAAAGAATTTTGTATTGGCGCCATAGAAGTCGCCAAGTTAGCGACTCCTAAGGAAGAGGAGCCGGCCCCACCACGCCGTGAGAAAGTCGAGGTCCGTTTCCCCGAACCGTTCAGTGGAACGAAGGGGGAAGATTTCGATAACTCGGAGGCCAACGTGCACTCCTATCTCTACTTACAGGGAGTCACACCAAAGGACCACGCTTTGGTGGCCTTCCACGCTCTTCTAGATGAGGCGACCAGCTTTGCTAGGTCGCTCGCCCGCGCTGCAAATTGCGAGAATGATATGGTCACCTATTCTAGATAACGCCCCTCTCCGAATCCCTGAAATCGCTTCGAGAGAGATTTTTTGATGTGACGCGGGGGCTCAAAGCCTCCGACAAACTCCAAATGATACACACTCACTAGTGGAGGAGTGTGCATGCACTTAAGTCTGCTATGGATGAATTGATTGCGGTCCCTGGGCATGGAGTAACAAATGCCCAACTTCTTAACCTCTTTTACCGTGCCCTGCCTGAAAATATTCAGGGACACTTCTTTGAGAAGAAGAATCAGCAGGGCATGACTTATGATACTCTTATTCGGGAGGCAGTAGCATTTGCCGCCCAAGCGTCGCCAGTTACCACGTTCTGGCACAAGGACTTGTCGAAGGGAAAAACGTGGAAGGGACGCACCATCTTCGACCAAATCAAGGCCAAAGATAGTCTAATACTAACAATGGAGGAAGGTGGTGCAGGCAAGGTTCCCTACTATGCCATTGAGTGGGGACTAGAGGAGCAGGACAGTAGCGCTGGTCAGGGGAGAACCTACGCTGCTGTCACCGTCGGGGGGAGGCCGCAAGGAGGAGGACAGAGGTCCGACCAGAACGGTCGGGCCCCGGGTCGCCGAGGACGAGGCGGCCAGGGGGTTGGCGGCAATGGCAACCGTCAAGCAGGAGGAAGGGGAGGTCCCCCGTCTAACCGTTCGCGTCTTAATCGGTCACCTCCCAAACAAGGATGGTGGCACCCAGGACGGCCCGAGGGCCGACCCTGGGATGATCTGGGTATAGAGCAAAAAGTATGCCAAGAACGCATCAATAGCTCTCAGTGCGTATTCTGCGGGGACCCAGGCCACATTATAAAATTTTGTCGTAAGTATAGGGACCGTGCTGCGACTGGGGCAGCAAAAGACAGCCGCCGGTAGGGGTCGCAACTGCCCCTACTCTAGGAGTATTTGGATTTGAGCGTGCCCGCGAAGTAGAGTATCCCACTCCACATATCTCCATGGCAGAGGTTGCAGGCCGGCGTCTAGTAGGCTGTCCACAGACTGCTTGTGTTAGGGTCTCTCTAGACGCTTCCCTCACAGGCTTAGCTGAGGAGTTGAGAGAGAGGAGGCAAGCCTGGGCCAAGATGAAGAAGGATAGTAAAGGACAACTGATCCTCGCAGACATAGAGATATTTAGAACTAGAGTAGGAGCCCTGATAGACAGTGGGGGGACTAGGAGTTATATCAGTCCTAAAGCGTTGAAGAACCTGTAGTCAGCATCCTCGCAGACAACAGTTGCAATCAGACTCACTTTCATTCACACTTTACATGCATGCAAACAGTAGCGCAGCAAACTGGCGACATGCGCCCACTCAGTACTCAGAGATATCGCAACCCAGATACGAGTTCACTTCCAATGGCTATGGCGATATAGCGCCCATACAACTCTTTGTTCGCATACAGTGGATCACCCTGGATATCCCACACGCATCTCTCTCAACACTCACGCACACACACACTGAACACTAACTACAGCTATGGCGGCTATGGCCGCCTCTACCCTATCGCTATGGCTAAGCTCCATCTCTCTGCCCACTTCGTCTTCAAGCCCACTGCAGACCTCCTTGCACAAGTCGATGTGGCAGCGCTTCCACATGGCACACGCAAGAATGAATAAATGGTTAGGCGCTGCCTCTTGATTTATACTTCTGCAGCTCATTGGTCTGGCCCTTTTCCATGCCCGAAGTGCATACAGTCCCATGCGGTACTTGCTTGACTGGACCAGGACTGCCTAGGACTGGGACTGCTGACTCAGCACGGGCAAACTCCACCACTTGCCTCACCACTTGCCCACTTGCCTCAGCCTAAATGTGGGCAACTACGAAAGGCCACTACTAGGACCTTCCGGAAGGTAGACTTGGCCTTTCATGACTGTAGCATCTACGACTTTGCCCCTTTTGGACTGTAGCAGCTACGACCTTGACCTTTCGAGAACGCTACAGCTACGACTTCTAGACTTGACTAAGATTCCTACTCGACAGGTCTACAGGTCGAACCCTGGCGACCTCTGGACCCTACGACAGTCTACCACTGTTACAAATACACAGGTCACGGGTTCAACTCTAAGGGTCGACACAGGTATTGTACACAGGTAAGGTGGGGACTAGGGATCGAGCCCTGGGATTTGCATCAGCTATTGCGAACTGGTGAATACCGTTTCACTCCAGCCGGCCTAAATTCGAGGTCCTCCGAGAATAACTCAGTCCAAGGCAGGACCTTTACCTTTCTGATGTCTTTCATAGGCTCTAACTATATCGGGAGCTGTCTCTAGAAGTTCAGATCTTGTAAACCAGCGGTCGTCTTCCGGTTCCTGATAGCTAAAGTGAACCTTGTACTGTTTCTGTGGACGACCTCTACCTCCTGTTCTGAACACATCTTCACCTACAATGCCGTCAATGTCATACCTTTCGTCCATGTCTGGAGGGATCATTGACCGTCTAGATGGAAACTGTTGACTTGTGACACACGGCAGCAACTTTGATGCGTGAAACACGGGGTAGGTGTGGAGGTGTGCTGGTATCTCTATAGTGTAGGACGACCCATCCTCTCCGCCCTTAACTTCTAGCACTGGCCACGGTCCTCTATAGGCGGGCAGTAACTTCTACGACATGTTCTCCTCAGGTGCAAACTCCTCAGATTTGACCCAGACCAGGTCGCCTACCTGAAACTGCGATGGGCGATGGTGCTTATGCGGTGCTGGGCCTTCCTGAGGTTTTCAACAACAGTCGCTATCTCTTTCTCGTGTTGTATTGCGAACTCCCTGGGACCGGGCGGTAGCCTGTGAATCGGGTCCTGGTTAAGCCCCTCAAACGGTCTACGAGGTCGAAAGGACTTGTGCAGCTCGTTGGGAGTGCGACAGGTGGACAAATGCACACTGTTATTGTATGCACTGGCTACCTTGGGTAACATCTCGTCCCAGTTGATCTGATCGGGTCTAATGTACATGCGCAGAACTTGTCCAGCTGCTCTGTCTGACCGTTAGTCTCTGGATGGCGGCGAGACGACATCAACAACTTAGATCCATAGACTCGCATCAGCTCCTGCCAGTTCTGGCTAGTGAAACGACTGTCTCTATCACTAACTATTGACAACGGGACTCCATGTTCACTAACCCAAAAATCAAAAAATTTCTGGACCTGTGCGTGCCTCTGCGGGCAAAGGAACAAAAATAGCATACTTGCTAAACCTATCAACTACGACCATGACTTGGCTCTTGTCGTGCCTACTCTTGACACTGGCATCCATAAAGTCAATGGAGACTGAATCTCTAGGCTGGTCTGGAATGGGCAAGGGTCAGAGAAGACCTAGAGGGGCGCGCGTTGTGGTCTTGTTCCTCTGACAGACTTTACAACTGTGGACATACTCTATGCAGTCGTTCTTCATTCCTGGCCAGGTGTACACGTGCATAAGATTGGCCAAAGTCTTTTGCCAACCAGAGTGTCCCTCTGTATCATGGCATTCCCTAGGATCAGACTGCGGATTTCCTCACTGTTGGGAATGCATAGGCGGTCTACTACATTAGTCTTCTCAAAAAGTAAACCCTCTGTAGTGCGATAATCTGACTCTGTCTCTGGGGGTCCCTTAACTCTCTTGAGGAGGTCACTATAGATAGGGTCCTGCGCATACGCTTGTCTAACTTTCTCCTGCAGATCACTCCCTATGTCCAGATAGTGAACTATGGCTCTAAAGTAGTCTATTCTCCTACTTAGAGCATCCGCAACTACATTGTACTTGCCCTTCACTGGCTTGAGCTCAAAGTCGAATTGGTCTATCTCTGCGGCCCACCTAGTCAACTTAGGTGTCATCTTGCCCTGTGTCTTCAACCATCTAAGCGTCTCGTGGTCGGAGTACACCTTGAAGTGCCTCCCAAGCAGGTAATGCTTCCAATGCTCTAAAGCCTGCCTGAGAGCGTAGAATTCTCTCTCATATGTCGAGGTAGCTACCTTCTCTGAGGGCATCCTCGCTGACATGAACTCTACGAGTTTGTAGCCATTGTCGTCGTCCTGCTGTAACACGGCGCCTATTCCATACCGACTCGCATCCGTGGTAACGACAAACGGCAAAGACGGATCTGCTACCTTGAGGACATGATACTCTATCAATGCGCGCTTTAATTTCTTTAGCGCAGAAGTGCAGTCTTTATCCCATTGCCATATCGCCTCTTTCTTGAGCAACCTGCGCAAGGGAGTGGCAATAGTAGAGAAGTTCCTCACAAACTTCCTGTAGTAATTTGCTAAGCCCAAAAACGACCGCAACTCTGTTTATGTGCGGGGTGTCGGCCAGTCTCTAATTGCTGCGATCTTACTGTCCTCTGGCTTAATGCCATCTCCGTCTAACACGTGGCCCAAGTATAGGACTTGTGTCTTGGCCCACTCACACTTCTTTGCGTTGATCTTGAAATTAGCTTCTCTCAGCTTCTGCAAGACCTGCCTCACATGACCCTGGTGCTCCTGGAGGGTCCTACTAAATACGAGAATGTCGTCTAAATACACTACGACAAATCTATCTAACCAAGGCCTAAACAGGTCATTCATACATCGATGAAATGTGGCTGGCGCAGTGGTCTGTCCAAAGGGCTTTACTATGAACTCATAATGCCCATACCTAGTCCGGAACGCAATCTTGTATTGGTCATCAGGATGGACCTCTATCTGATGATAACCGAACTTCAAATCTATCTTGGAGAAATACTTACAACCCTGCACCCGATCTAAGAGATCGCCTATCCTGGGCAGTGGTTCAACATGCTTAATTGTGATAGCATTCAGACCCCTATAGTCTATGCACATGCGCAACTCTCCTTCCTTCTTGGGAACAAACAAAACAGGTGCTCCAAAAGAAGATGAACTGGGCCTAATCCAAACCTTCTCAAGGAGCTCGTCCAACTGCTTGCGCAACTCCTCTAACTCTCTAGTGGACATCTTGAAGACTGCTCCCTTGGGAGTTCTACTGCCAGGCTCTATCTTTATCCTGTGCTGGATCGGCCACGACACTACTCCTGTCGGCGGCTCAGATAAGTCTTTGAACTCTTCCAACAACTTGGCCATGGCTGGATCTGTGGAACTCACTTCTTCCTTAGCCTCAGTGACATGTCTAACATATACTACAAAGACCTGATCCTCTACTGCTCCTTCTTTACTAATCGCGCGAACGCGGGAGCACTGAGACAGCAATGTGCCAGTGAGTCGTCTACTCCTGACACATGGAATAGGCGGGCAGTCTTGACCTCGCCTAACGCACTAGGGAGCCTACACTCATGCTCTCTCAAGTGGAGTGTGGCCCCCGCTGCCTCTCCACAATCCATACCTAGGACTATATCAAACTGAAGGTTATCCTGAACGAGGAGAGTCAGGGAATGGAGAACTCTCTCTACCTTCCCATCTTTCTCTGGGCGAAAATACGCTTGGACTCCCTCTACATAGTCCTCAACTCGCATTGTACTATTGTCTGCAAGGACACTGACTATGGGTTCTTTCAATTTCTGGACTTGTAATCCTAGCCTCAGCTTTTTCAGCGCTCTACGGCTAATGTAACTACGGGTAGCCCCTGAATCTATAAGGGCCCCCACTCTACTCCTAAACACGTCTACATCCACTAACACTAGTTGCCCTTTACTGTCTTTCTTCATCTTGGCCCAGGCAGGCATCCTCTCCTTCAATTCCTTTGCCACGCCTGTGAGGGACGTGCCTAGAGAGACGCTGACACAAGCAGTCTCTGGACAGCTAACTAGGAACGGGCTTGCAACCTCTGTCGAAGGCTCATGTGGTGTGGGAGTTTCCTCTACGCGCGCACTCGCTTCCCCTCATGGCCTAAGAGTAGGGGCAGTTGCGACCCCTACCGACGGCTGCCTTTTGCCTCCTGGGCAGCCCACCGGGCCTGTTTGTACTGAGGACAATATTTGACGATATGGGCAAGGTCACCACAGTAGATGCACTGCCCCTGCTCCATTCGCTGCTGCCAAATTTTCTGGTCCAGGCCCAGATCTTCCCAGGGCCGGCCTTGTGGCCAACCCGGGTGCCAACCTCCTTGCATCTGAGGTGACCTGCCACCTCGTCGCTGTGGGGACCGACTAGGACCTTGGCAATTCGGCGGGGGACCTTGACCCTACCTCCCGCTTACCGCCTGTGCGCCTGATCCTCGGCATCCCATGGCCTGGCCCCTTTGGCCCTGGCCTCCTCCTCTACCTTGCGGCCTCCCTCCAGCCGCGACAGCCGCATAGGACCTCCCGTGTCCTACGCTACTGTCCTCCTCCTCGAGTCCCCACTCAATCTGGTTGTAGGGGACCTCAACAGTACCACCTTCCTCCAATGTAAGGATCATGTGATCCTTGGCCCTCCCCTGGCCTGAGATGGTACGCCCTTTCCACTTTTTGCCCTTGTCTAGGTCCTTGTGCCAGAAAGTGGAAACTGACATCGACTTTGCCTCGAACAGCACCACTTCTCTACTGAGCGCATCATACGTCATGGTGGACTATTGGGATTTGTCAAAGAAATGCCCTCGTAAGGGCTCTGGCATGGCACGATAGAAAAGTTGGACCAGTTGGGACTAAGTCACCCCATGGTCCGAGACGGCCACCAGGTCGTCCGTAACGGCTTTGAGTGCCTTGGCACTCCTCCACTGCCGCGAGTGGATGGTTTGGAGTTTGTCAGAGGCTCTTACGCCCCTGCGAAGATCAGCAAACCGCTCCCTAAGGAGCTTGAAGAATTGAGGGAGGGGGGTGACTTTGGAATAAGCGACCATGTTGTTTTCGCAACCGGCCGCGCGCGCGAGGGACCTAGCGAAACTAGTCGCTTCCTCCTTTAGGGCTTGGAAGGCTACAAGGACCTGATCGACCTGTGTGATATGCTGTACGTAAACATACCTGTTTACGCTAGACTCCCAGTTATCGAAATTCTCCTCGGGCTTCCCGCCGTATGCGTCTGGGAACTTGAGCTTAACTGGGTCCTTGCGGGGTCTGGCCTCGCTCGCGACGGTGGCTACTGCTTTGGCGCCCTCAATGGCGCCTTCACAGAACTTCCCCACGTTATCTCTCAACCGCCTGACTTCGGCCCCAACGTGGGTAACCATGTCGCGCGCAAACTCTCGAAACCCTGACCGCATGGCATTCAGGGCCACATCGTGACCCCAGTTGGCTTGGCGTTCCTCCAGCCAGGCCTCACTCAATACCTCCAGGTACCCCAGCATCTTATCCATTTTGGCAGAGACATCTGCCTGCGCCTGCACTTCTTGCCTACAAGCTCTCACCTTCTCCACCTCTGTGGTCAACCGATTAACTTCCTCCCTCCTCCTCTTCTTCTCCCTCTCCATTCTCAATTTCCACTCCAACTTCTTCTCCTCCTCCGTCTCCTGTCGTTCCAGGGGGTCCTCAATCGTTGCTAGTGCCCTGGCCAACGCCGCCTTCTCCTCCTGTGGCACATACAACTGCCTCCTCATCTTCCCCCAATGATAAATTGGATATCCACTCGCTGATCTTCTTCTCCATCTCTGCATCCTCATTCTGCGTGCCACTACTCTCCCGTTTTGCTTCCCTGCGTCTTTCTCTTCTGCTTCCTCTGCTGCCGCTGCCTCCTCGGCAGCCCTTTTCTTCTCCTCCATCTCCTCCTCCAATGTCTTCATTTTCGCCGCCTGCTCCTCTGTGATTGCTTTCAATTTCGCTTGCTTCAGGAGCTCTTTCCTCTCTCTATTCTCTTTCACTAAGGCGGCCATCTGCTCTTGTTGAGCCTGGGTATAGGGGCTAGTGCTCTTCCCACTACGGGTGTCAACCATGGTGATTAGTGCACAACCGGGTTAACGGTTCCAAACCTTACCACTTATACTCTAACCCCTGCCTGACAAACTTACTGACTCAATCTAAAGACTCACAAAATCCGGACAGGGATCCTGTCAACTAGGATCTCTAACCTAGACCTACTCTAAGGCTGTCACTACTAGACCTGCTGTTGATCAGGAGGCATTTTAGGAGATCCCCTGTAACTCCTCAGGAATTATTTAACGTCGCAAGCAAACAGGACGACGCGATCAGCAGGTCTCTCAACACTTAGACTACCTGTTGTGCAACCCACAACTCAGCTTTTCGGGCCTACCGTGCCACACCGAGCAGCCTGCCGGTCTGTACCGGTCCTTGGGAGGGTTCGTGTCCTCTGGGACAGTCGAATCGTCAGACACAGTCTTTAGCCCTACTTAGTCCAGCAGGGGTTTGGTCAACGAGGCCCTATCCTTCATCCACAAAGTTCCTACACCTAGACAAAAGAGACTCAATGCAGAAAGAAGAGACAGACAGACTTGACTCGACAAGTACCACAAGGTGTGTGCACATCCATAGGGCGAGGGGATAGGCTAAAGGCTTGGCGAGAATATACCGGCTCCAACTTGGTCAAACTTGTGGTCAACGGTCTTGGTCAACGCTGCAGTTAACCTCCGGTCAACCCCTCCGGTCAACTCCCGATCATGCCCGGTCAACGCCTGGTCAACTCTCCCGGTCAACTCCTCCGACGGCTATGGCGGCCAACTCCTCCTTCGTCACCACCCTTCTCCTTCCTCTCTCCTTACTC